TTTACATTTAGTCATTTAGCAGACGCTTTTATCCAAAGCAACTTACAAATGAGGACAATATAAGCAATCAAAATCAACAAAAGAGCAATGATATGCAAGTGCTATAGCAAGTCTCAGCTTAACGCAGTACACGTAGTAAGTTTTTAAAAATGATTTAATAAATAAAAAGAAAAACAGATAGAATAGAAAAAGAATAGAGCAAACCAGTGTTAGAGCCCTTTTTTGCTTTTGTTAATTGTATAATAAATAAAAAGAAAACAGAATACAAAAAGATTAGAAAAGCTAGTGGTTTTTTTTTTAAGAAAACAAGCAGTAAATGAATAGAGTGTAAGTCTAAAAAGGTATATATATATTCACCAAATGTAGGTGTGATTTCTTTTGTTTGTGTGTGTGTTTACAGTAAACAGTTTTTTTTGTGTGTGTGTCAGTGTGCAACTACATGCACTGGACACTGTTCTCCACTTCTTGATATAGTGTCTAATGAATGATCTGTAGTGTGTATATTATTGACTAATGTGTGTGTGTGATTTGAAAGCTTTGTTTGAGTTTGAGTACAGTTGAAATGGTTTTGAAGCGATTGTTTGATTTTGCCAGAAGAGTCAGAGGTTCTGTGAATTTAGTTTGAAGGTTTGGATTTGTGTTTAAGGTTTTGAGAAAATGAGTGATGGTTTCAAGAATTGTGTTTTAGCAATTCAGAAAAACTGTAATAATAACACAATTTTTTTTTTTTAAAGTTGTAAATAAAACAGAAGATTATTGGATCATGTTCTACAAAAAAAAAATCAGTCTTTCTACTTAAAAGTTTCATGTATAATTAATTCACTGTGTTACTTGATTGTTCTGTTACATATATCTGCAACATTACCTTTCCATCAAATTACATAACATTTTGTTTTTGAACATTTTTGAGTTTTTCAGCAAATGGGAACGTAATATTCTCCAATTCAATAGAAGTTTACTCAACTATGATGACTTCTGCTCCTAAGAAACCTGGAGGAGTGAAAAGGGCCCATTATGAGTATATTCCTGCTTTTACTGCAAAGCTGCTTTGAAACAGTATGTATTGTACTCGCTATAAATAAATGTGACGATGACTTATTGATTATAATTTGTTAAAATAAATGACTTTTTTTCATTTAAAAATAAAACTAGCAAGTTGCATGTACAATATGCCTATCATTACAGCACCATCCATTTACAGCACCTTCATAAATTAAATAAAAACAAAAAAGGAAAAACACCCGATACAAATACTTTATTCATCATTTTGTAATAGATGTAAGAAGAAGATACATCACCATCTTCCTCTGACCAAAGTGATTTGAATGCACTGATGCTGTAACTATTGCTTCCTAACTCCTAAATATGAACTTCCCAGGAAGACTTGAAAGTATCACTGTAAAAACTGATTTTTGCTGCTTGTATAATTTACTTCATTAAAATGAGCTAAAGCCTAAAGTCACTACTTAATTTTATTGTGTTCAATCCACTTACATATGTAAACTGAAGTTCAACTCAGTCCATTTGTGTTGTGGAACAAAATAGTTTTTGTTAACTGAAACTGAGCAAGATGTTTAGCTCAATGTTTGAATTTAACAGTTTAAAAAAGTTTTCTCCTGTTATGTTGAAGTTTTTGTGGTTACCATGCATTGTGCTAAGCTTGCATTTTTGGTGACTGAGTGTTGTGTTGCTCACTGAGCAATAGCTGTGGTAATGCAAATGCAGTGGCAAGTAGTTTACAGTGCTAGTTACAAGACCTCTTTTAAATGTACAATAACAATTAAGTCTTATTTATTTATTTATTTAGTTGTATAAATACTTAGTCTTGGAAGGTATCAAAAATGTT